TTCAACCTGTCTTTCCTGGCTAGCCATTTCCTTTTACAACTATATATTTTTTTATGGCTTCTCTTCTTTCTTTCTCAGACCCAGCTATTTTTGCCTATATGTTTATCTTACTTCCTTTATGTTATCTTTTCCTGACTCTCACCATTTGTATTTATTCTTCTATTCATTTAGTTTCCATTGTATTGTAGGTTTAACTGACTCTGAAGATTTATCATATTGATGCTTATTTATCACCATTACTCCATATTGCCTGAGCACAATGAAACTTTGCATCCTTAATTCTTTTATGCCGCCAGGAAAATCCCAAAGAGTACAGTGCATTGAATAGAAAGACACAATTCATCAGCCAATTTCAAACAAAATTTGAGTATTAAAGATCATAAAACAAATGCTTCAGTGACCAAGGAGCCAAACCTCTTCCACCCCTTTTTAGTACTGAATGGGACCTGCCTGGAATGGAAAATAGTCATCATTCTAAAATGCTTTATGTCCTTATGTGAAATGTCATTCTTACAACACTTCCTTAAACCTATGGAGGAATGCAGAGATGATCTTGGAGAAAATATGCAGCAGTCATTAATAAAGCATGATGACTAAGCCCAGGAAAATAGGAAAGCATGAGAAAGAAACTCAGTGTTACTGTTTCTTGATTTTTTTAGTCTGAGACTTAAAAAAAAGGGAAATGCTGTCAGCCTTCTTAAATTGTTATAGCCTTATGTCAATAAAGTTGATTTCTAACATTTTTTTGGTGTTGTCTATTTCCTGACCTGGCCTGCCTCAAAGGGCTGACAAAACCAGATTATTATTTCCATTTCTGAGATAGCTGGGAACAAAAAGGTACATATCAGTATAATGTTATGCAGGTTTCAGATCATTTGATAGGTTTAAATCTTTTAAGTTTTAACATTCACTTTACTTAATCGCTAGAGAAGTAATATTATAATGTTGCCTTGTCTCAATTTCACATCTATGAAGCAATAGTATGCTGCTTTTTCCTTCCCCAGTACTATTTCAGGTATTCAGTTTACATTAGAGTCTTTGGGATAATATATCAAAAATTGTTTGAGACATTGCTCAAAGTCAGACTGATACTACCAAAAAACAAGAAAAGCAAAGACAATTTTTGCTAGACACTATTATAAGGCCCTTACAGAAGTTTAATGAACTTTGCACTCTAGAACAATTAGGAAAATATTTTCAAAAATTAGCATGTTCACACATTCCTACAGTGAAACAGGATTTGCAATGCAGTTCTAAAGCAATAAATTCTGGTTTTAATCAATATATATCATTAAATCTTATTGGTTTAAATCTAAAAAAATAATATGCACTTCATATCTCATTCTGCAAGACCTCTGCAGCCAGGAACCGAGCTATGGATTAAATCCATAGCACGGTACTCAGCTGCATAGGCCTTCTGGAAAGGCCTGACTGTAAAATGCAGGCTGGAATGCAGCTGCAGAGACCAGCTGGGTGTCGGTGCTGGAGGTGAGTATAAAAGACATCCCCTGAAAATAAGACTTGCAGGATGCCAGCAACTGGTCCACACAAACAAAGCCCCATCCGCAGGATGCAGGCAGTACGCAAAAGCACACCCCCTCTGGTCCACGGAAAAACTTTTCTCCATAGCACTGGTCCCTGGTGCCCAAAAGGTTGGGGGACCTCTGCTCTAAACAACAACCAACACCTGGAATTGCACCCAAAGGCTACTGGTAACTAATTGAGCCCTGAACCAGAAGTATTATGTGAGCATATCAAGATATGCCTGTATTGCCCAAGCTGCCACGCTCTGCACCAGCTGCAGCTTCCAAGTAGTCTTCTAGAGCAGGGCTTTTCAACCGGTGGTATGTGTGGGAAGTCAGAGCCCCAGAGAAGGAAATATTAAAAGGGCAGAAATATATCTTTCCTCAAAAGTATTTTAAAAAGCAGAAACCAACTTTGGCTCCAAATCTCTCTGCCCCAAACAAGACCTAGCCCCATACAAATGCAGATGTAAAACCATCAGAAAGTTGAAGCCAGAGCAATCAAGAAGACAAAGAGAAAATCTGCATGCCCCACCCAAACTCTAGGAGTCATTAGTCCCATCACCTGGGAAGCAGGATATGATAATAGGATTAAATCACAGATATCAAGGCCTAGAAAAACACTCAGAAATAGCCTCAAAGTTCATGCCACAGGAACAGGAAACTATTTCAAAACAGGGCTAGAGGGGGTATAAAAAACCTTCTACCCATGTGCTCAGTCTCTTTCCTCTCCTCTGCTCCTTCTTGCAAGGACCATCTTTCTTCTGCAATAAACTGTAACCTTCTTCCCAAAGCAGTCGCCATGTTTGCTTATTTATTCCCGGCTTGGATGAACCAGGATGAAGACTTACTTCTAACATATGCATACCACCTGTGGTACATTGGCACATGGCAGGTGGTACATGGCCCTGCCCAGCCAAGTCCAGGGTAGCGGGGGAGAGAATGAGCCAAAGCGGCGCAGTGTAGGACTTGCTCTGAGAGAGTTTTCAGGAGCTGCAGGGCTGCTTGGGGCAAGGCAAAGACCCCAGGATTGGCACTTCCGGCACACCCAGAAGAGATAGGAAGAAGAGGAGGTGGAGACAGGAAGGGATATAAAAGGATGCAGGTTGGGCAGGACAGGGAGAGAGAAAAAAAGACACAGCCTTGGGAGGAGGAGGAAGAGTCAGCTGGAGCTGCACCAAAGGTAAAAAGAAAAGGAGGGGCAAGAGAGGACAAAAAACAGGCCGGGCGCCCACACATAGGTGGCAGCGACAAACAAGTAAGAAACGCAGGTGGGGAAGGGTTGCGGCATTACAGTCCATTTTACCTGCGCTACGCCACCCAGACCCCCCCCCAGCCTGCCCAATTTTGGCAGGCAGCAGTGCGTTCTCCTCACTGTGCAGAGAGGCTGGGTTAGCCGGGCAAGGTCAACTGGCAACAAGCTGAACCTGCCTGGGTATGTGCAGAGGCGGTGGCGAGTGCATGTGCCTGGCGCCTGGGTAAAAGGGAAGCACTCAGAATGCGGTAAGCCCGCGTGGCAAAACAGTCACCCTGGACGCCAGGCGCATGAGCTCACCACCCACGCAGGTTTGGCATGTCGCAGGTTCGCCTTGCCCGGCCCAGCTGCTCCGTGCAGTGAGGAGAGTGCGCCGCTGCCTGCCGAAACCAGGCTGGGGTCTGGGTGGTGTAGCGCAGGTAACGTGGACTCTCATGCCACTCAGGGTGTCCCTTCCCCCGGAGTCCACGGGTGTGTGAAATAGATGAGGGCCATTTGCTGATTTCCTTCAGTGGATGCCTGTTTTTCTCCCTCATTACAAATATCTTCCCACCACTCTGCTCTTAATGCTATGTGGCTCTTGTCCAGCAATTTACAGTGGCCTTTCAAGCCATGGCTACCACCAGCACAGCCCCATCTGGCAACATGTCCCCCTCCCCTTGTCCCTTCCTGGGCATGGAGAGAGGGAAGGAAGGAAGGGACAAAGAGGGAGTGAGGGAAGGAAGGAAAAGTGGGAGGGAGGGAAGGAAGGAAGGGAAAATAAGAGGGAGGGAGGGAAGGAAGGAAGAGACAATGGGACGGAGGGAGGGAAGGAAGGGGCAATGGGAGGGAGGGAGGAAGATATGGCGCCCACCCCAGTCCAACCCCCCTCCACCAGAGACCCACAGATCCCCCCACAGCCCTGCCCACACCCCCCACAGGTGGCCCGCGACCTGAGTGACGTTGAGTTGGTCATGCCCCCCAAGACATTGACTTCGCTTGTCAAAAAGTTGCAAAAGGTGATCACATGACCCTGAGACACTGTGACTGTCATAAGTATGAATCAGTTGCCAAGCATCCGAGTGTAAATCACATGACCCTGGGGATGCTGCAACAGTCACAAGTGTGAAAAATGGTCATAAGTCACTTTTTTCAGTGCTTTGTAACTTCGAACAGTTACTAAGCGAATTGTTGTAAGTCGAGGACTACCCGTACTCTATCACTTTTTTTCCTTTTTTGGGGGGGTCATCAAGTTTTTGACACCTTGCTAGGCGACCGGTGGTACTCGGATATGGCCATATCCTAAAAGTGGTACAATGGGCGAAAAGGTTGAAAAGCCCTGTATGTAGAGCAGCCTCACCTAGAGCACACTACAACAGTCCACACTTGTAATGAAAGGAACGCGGTTCTGGAGCGTCTCCTGATTTAGAAAAGAAATAAGGCACGCAAGGTGGAGCTTTTCTTGGCCAGTTACCACCTCTCCTCAATGCCTTGTTTTCTGCATTTTAACTGCAGTTGTTAGGCTGGAATGGAACGAGGGCCACCCTACCTGATTCCTACTGCGGTTAGTCACCGCGTTAATAGTACTAGGATCAAACTATTAATTCAAAATGAACAGGGCTACTTCCTCCTGGCAGTCCTGGCGCCATCCAAAAGAGCTTGGGACGACCACTTCCCTCGCGCCTGTCCGCTGCGCCCGTGGGCAGGGACCGAGATCATTTGGTGCCCTTTGCACCGGCCTAATGTTTTCCACACTGACAGAATACTATTATTTCTAAGGCAGGCTGTGAGCTTTAGCGGACGAACGGCGGGAGTCGGCGCTCCCGGGATGCCGAGGGGCGAGGAATTGGGAGGCGACTTCCCCTCGGCTCCCGCTCCCCTCCGCCGAACCAGCACACGTGCGCCCAGGCGGTGGGCTCTCTCGGCGAGACGGCTCGGGCTCCTTTTCTCCCTTTTCCTGCTTAGGTTTCGGGACGCCTTCGTGGAAACCCCGCCCCTGGCTATGGGCGAACCGACCAGGAAGAGGCAGGAGGCGAGAGGAAGCGCAGGCGGTGCTCGCAACCCCGGATTCTGCCCGGCCGCCAGTTCAGGAGCTCCTTGCCTTCTCGTGGCTGGAAGTCCGGCAGGAAGGGAAGGGGAGGCGGCGGCTGGCCTGAAAAACGGAGCAGGAGCCGCGCCGCCGCCGCCGCCGCCTTCCTCCCTCCTCCCCCAGCGCCGCCGCGGCCCAGTAGGAGGGAGCCTAAAAGCAGACTCGCCAGTCAGGCTCCCTCCGGAGGCGGGGAGACAAGCCGCCAAAGCCCACCATGGCCACCAAGGTGAGGAGACCCCCCCGGCTGGCCCCGCCGGCCCCTTGCCTCGCCTCCTCAGGTTTGGGGGAACGCTGGCTTGGCCGCCCCCGCCCACTCGTGTTTTGTTTGCGCTTTGAAACAACTCGGGCGTTACACGGGCAAGGGCGGGGGGACGGCTGGTGGGGATGATGGGGTTCGCGCCTCTCGCGCTGGGAGAGCGGCGGTTTGGCGGGGTTGCTTGCATCTCCCGCTCTTGGGGTGGGCGCCGTCCAGGACGGTAGCATGAGGGATACTTGTCAGAAGGGCGTGTTTGAGGCTGAACTGGGGGGGGGGGGGAAGGGCGAGAGCGGAAGGGTGCCTAGCCCCAGCTGTGCGTTTTATCTTGGCGCCTTTCGTGTACTCTGCCCCTTTGGCAATATTGCACACGCAGACCTCCTCCGCGTGGGCCTTATAGACCTGTTTTCCGGTTGGGGCCAGCCAACCGAAGGCAGAAGGCAAACTTTGAAATAGCGCTAGAAAAAGAGTTCTCTCCGACTAATAATAAGTTCATCAAGCTGGTTAAATAGCGACGTGAGTTCTTTTGGACAGGGGGGGAGAGATTTCGTTTTCCAGTTCCAAAGGCTTCTATGCCCTTTTCTTTATAAACTTAGTTATTTTCCTCCTACCTGGGCATTTTTCCCCCCTCCCAAGTTCAGTTTTTTAATGCAGACCTATGACAATATTAAAAAGAGTTTAGGCTGGCTCTTGCCCTTTGTAGGCGTGTTCACATTCAGCACACACCCTCCATACTGTACTTCTTTCCAGATGTAAAAATAAAAGTGTCTGTTCCATCCTGCAATTGTGTCCGTGATGCAGTACAAATATTACAGGGTGTTGTTGGTTTTTTTTTTAAAAAAAAACAACCTAAAATTGTAGATGTTTATGTGAGAGTATCATTGGGCCTTGCTTGGCTAATGCTTTTAGGGCTGCGGATATTAATTGCAGGAAAACATTTTAATAATATTGCTGGAGATAAAAAGCATTAACAGATCTCAATAACTACAATTTTGATATGTGGGGACTGGGAAATAAAAGCAAGATATATTTAAATTTGGCAGTTAAAACTATTGTTTGCTATATTTAATTCTTGAAGACAACTGTAAAAACTTGTAAATATTAGTGGAAGAGATCCTTGTTCTCTTGATGTGTAGCAGGGGTTCCCAACCAGGAGTCAAGATGATATTCCAGGGGATGCGAAAACTTGGGTTTTCAAAATTATAGTGTATATGCATAATTCGTTGCAGTTATTTCGAACTTTTGTAAGGGGTGTGAGAATATATCAGAAGCGTTCTAGGGATGCGGGGTATAGAAAAGGTTGGGAACCACTTAACCAGCTTAAAACTGATAGAATTACCAGTGCATGTTTACAATAATTAAGATTTCCAAACCATGTTTGAAATAAAATATGTGTAATCACATGGATCTATTGTTTAGAATTGTAGTTAGTAATGCTTTTACAGACTTTATACTTTCCATGTTGGTTACTATTCTCCACTGAGATTGAGAAAGTGGTTAAAGTGAATAAACTTCAGCAATGAGCATATCATACTGATATTAGCAAAACTGAAGAACTACAGCAAATATACACATACACTTATACATACATCAGCCTCAATTTGGTCTAGTGAAAGCATACTGGATTTTAAAAGTATTGCCACTGACTACTGTTAATATTCACTGTTTATTACACATGAACAAACAAAAATCTATGTAAAATGGAAACATGTTTCTAAGGTCTCTCAACTATGCTGAAGGAAATACAAGAGCACAAGATTTGGTGGTGTATTTTCTGTTGAATATGGACAAAATTCCTATTCTTTCTGCTTCATTTGAAAACAGTTCACCCCCCCCCCCCAAAAATGGAGGCTCTGAGTTCATGTGATCTTTTCTGATAATTGGTTAATTTAACCAGTTTCTTTAGAACTGGATCAAGTTCTTTGAAAATATGTCATTTTTCAGTGCTCAGCATTCTAGCAGGAAAGGAAAAAATGACTTAAGTCTAAGTTTTTTAAAAAAAACAATCACAAGGCATTGATGTTGACTAATGCTGTTACTTCATCTGTCGCTGTATAGCTCTTCCCCCTTCTGAAGTAGTTTTATATATAAATTAGAAAATTTGAAATTCAGTGAGAATTTTCAGAGTTGTGGTGAGATTGAATTTCCTTTTGTTTTCTTTCCCTTTCATTTTGAGACTGGTTATGATTATTTACAGAAGGAACAGTCTGGAATACTCGGTTATTCTATTTCAGTTGTGAATAATTTGACTTCTGTGTTGCAGCTAAACTTTTTTTGATTGCCCTATTGATTGGAGGTGTTTTTTTTCTACCTTCAGCCAAATGTCCAAATGTCCAAATATATAATATTAAAGAGAAACGAAACCAATTACAAAAATTAAAAGTATTTATTGTAATATTTTATTGTTCAGTAGTTGTGTGTGGCTTAATATGAAATATCCTAATGTGGAAGGGGAAAATGCCTTTAAGGAGGAAATTATTTTTTTGTCTTTACCAGCATTTACTGAAAATCCCTAGTAATACTTTATTGTTTTGCATTTATCATTTCTATTGAGTAAGACTTTTTCTGGCTATTACTACATGCAGCAATTCGTTAGATAAGCAGCTCAAACTGGGCATGAGAGTGAAGGTGGAAGAAATTAGTGCTGAAATCTTTGGGGCTCAGCTCCTGAATTACATACACACATACATACACACAGAGAGATTTCTGTGCACTCATTTACCAATTGGTGGGAATGCAATTAGGGTAGACTTGGAACAGAAGCCAAAGTTTGAGGTGCATTTTACAGTATGCCTTATACATTCTGGACTCAGCCCTATTGAGCTGAAAATGTTTTTTTTTATAAGCATTGACTTGCTTAGCTTTTTAAACCAAGCTTTTAAAAACACTCTGATTTTTTTTAAAAAAATATATTAAATTTAACAAATTATCGTGATCATAAAAGTGCAATAGTTAAATTGTGCAATACTTAAAGAAATATTTTTATTTCCAAAAGACATGACTTTTTATATAAAAATTTGAAGTATATTGCTAATTTTTGATGCTTTACAAGATTCAGCTCTGGTATCACTTTGAACTATATTTCTACTATGGTGTAATGTGAATTTCCTTTGCCAGCTGTTGGAAGCTAAAGCTATTGAAGATTTTTCCATTGAAACAATAGTCCAATTAGTGCTGATTTCTGTATCTGGAATAGGCAACTACACAGTGTTCAAAGGAAGTGAAGGGTCATTGTCTCTGTGCCAATGAAATGCAATTTCATTCTGTAAACAGAGGCTTGTGGCATCTTTTATATAACTAGTTTTCTGGAGGGAAATGATAGGCTGATTTATTCTTTATTCATATAACATTTAACTGTAAATGATTGACTAAACTTATTCTGAAATTCTGAGAGAGAGGAGTTTTAAAAACTGGGGAGTTTTGTTTTTATTTTCCAAATACTAGGTTTGAATCCTTGTTGACCCGTGAAATGAGAAAATAATGGCTCAGAAGTTCATAAACGTATTCCTAAAAATCCACTGCTAGGTTTGAGAACTTGGGTATTCTAAGTAGATAGGTAGGTAATGTAGTAGATGAGTGGTATAAAATTTTGAATATGAATAGATGTTGCCACTGAATAACCATTTTAGGGTTTTATATGAAAAGTATATATTTATATATTCATATTCACCTGAGGATATGCTGCAACACTGAGTACACAGGTGTTGTAATATCTATTTTATTGCTAAACCTTCCAGAATGGAAGATCGACATAAGTAAAGATGACTAAAGCCAGTTCTGCTGTTGCTTTGGCAGTGCTTGTAGGATTGATATGGGATTGACTTTCTGCACTATTTGTCCTGCTGTTCAAAAGCAAAAGATAGGATGATGGTGAATGCATTGTGCAAGTAAAGACATAGTATAGTGGTTAAAGTTCCAGGCTAGAAACAGGCCACGGATTCTAGACCTGCCTTAGACAAAAAGTCAGCCAGTCACTCTCTCAGCCCTAAGAAGGAGACAATGACAAACCACTTCTGAAAACCTTTCCAGTAAAATGGCAGGGATTTGTCCAGGCAATCACCGGGAATCAACACTGATTCAACAGCACTCCCCTCCCCCCCAAAAAACTGAATAATAAAACAGCTTACACTAAGTGCAGGGATTTTGTCTAAGCTCAGATCCTCAGTGTTTCATTTCTGAACTTACGGCACACCATGAAATATGAGGGGCTGAACCCAGTTCTCCCAAATTTGATTTTCATTTTGGCAATTTGAGTTTTTTTTAATTCAGTTCTTCAGATGAAATATCTCCATTTAGCACTTAAAATAATAATGTCCACTTTATGGGAGAAAAAAAGGGAAGAAGACAATGAAAGTTTGGGCACCTATTTTTTTGTTTTATTAGGTACACTCGGTATGCATTTGCCTACCTTTTAAGTGCCCTGGGTGACTGGAGAAATGGTGCAATGGAATTTTGAAAATAATCATATCAAACGTGTATGTAAGGAAAACAACTCTCATTGTATATTCAGGCCTATTTTTACCAGTTTTTTATAGTAACAAGCTACTTTTCCCAAATGATTTATTACTACATTAATCCTTTCAGCAACAGTTCCTGCACAGTTTATAGCTAGCACAAAAAGTCAACATGGTGCCCACAGATATCTTCCTTGATATCTGCTAGTCTTCTTGTCAGCAGGGAACTCCCTCCCCATACACACATGTATAGAGAGATATATCAGTGTTAATTAAATCGGAAGCTGACATATTCCATAGTAAAGCACAACCTCTAATATTATTTTTATTTGCAAGAATGCCTCTGGGATCTTACGGTCTCATAAACATTTTTCAATAATAAAAATAAGGGCCCCACTGTTTTGTTTAGAAGTGTACCCACATTCATCCCCCCCAAAAGAGGGTAAAGTAAAGCAAAGATGGCAGAGTTTACCAGTTTGCTTCTTTATGACTAGCCATACCCACTATGACTAGATATAT